TGAGTTTCTGTTTGGGGTTCCGGCAGGGATGGGGATGCCGGGGGAATTTGTGGGGTGGCTGCAGGCACTCTATGGGAGGGCAACGAGCAGGGTGCTGGTGAGGGGCTTCCTGGGAGAAGCCTTTGCAGTGGACTCGGGGGTGAGGCAAGGGTGTCCGCTGTCGCCGGGGCTCTTTGTTTGTGCCATTGAGCCTCTGGCACAGTGAATCAGAAGTGATAGGGTGATCAGCGGGGTTCGAGTGCCGAGGGGCGGGGAATTAAAAGTCCTCCTGTACATGGATGACGTGATGTGCGTGGTGCAGGACGAGGTGTCCTTAGGAAGAATGGTGAAGCACGCCAATGAGTTTGGGGAGGTATCTGGAGCGAGAGTGAACGTGGACAAGAGCGTAGTCCTGGCGGTTGGGAACTGGGGGGACTTGGGGAAATTTGGACTGAAGGTGGAAAGGGAGGAACTGAAAATACTGGGCGTGGGGATGGATACCCAGGGGAAAGGGAAATGGGCTTGGGAAGTGTTAGAGGGGAGAGTAAACCAGACGATGGGGTTGTGGAGCACCCGGAATTTATCATCAAGGGGTAAGGTGCAAGTGATCAAACAGTGCCTGTTGCCGATAATCTTGTACACGGCGATGGTGTAACCCCCATCCTGGCTACAGGCCCGGTGGGTCCAGTGGGCATTATGCCTCTTCTTTTGTGGGGGGAAGACAGAGAAGGTGGCCAGGACAGAGTTATATAAGGAAGAAGGGCTGGAGGGATGGGGTCACCCTAACATAGAGGTCTTTGTTTATACGCACCTTTTGAAGATGGTTGTAACGGAAGCGAGGGGCACACCGGGAATGGTTTCCAACTTTTGCATTTTCTGGGGGGGAAGACTCCTACAAAGGCTGGGACTGTTCGGGAGTGGGTGGCAGGGGGCGTGGACTTGGCAAATGTCACTCCCTTATGCACGCCTTGGATCCTTTGTTGCGAGGGAAGGCTTGGTGGGGTTAGGGATCGAAGGGCTGGCGGATGCCAGGAAAGTCCTTAAGTTCATGAGGGGGAAGCAGAGCATGTCAGATGTCGGGGATCTGAGAACGGAGAAAGTCAGCAGGGTGTGGAAAGGGCTGGTGGGGAAGGAATGGAAAGGGGAGCACGAGGAGCTGGCGTGGAGGGCCGTGCGAAATGCACTGCCAGTGCGACAAGTGCTGCATCGATGGAGACTCTCACGGTCCCCCAAGCGCCCAAGAGAAATCTGTGATGAACCCGAGTCGGTGGCACATGTTTTGTGGGACTGTTTTTATGCACAAAAGGTGTGGGAGAAGGCAGCCACCTTTTTGAAGGAGACAGGAAGTGGAACGGGGATCACTATTGAAAATGTTCTCTATGGGTTAACAGAGGAGACGGATGGGTCATGGGGTGTGAGGGTCCTTATCACATGCACCAAAGTAGCGATATGGAAAGTGCGTTCCCTGTTGGCACCAAAGGGCTTGTGCTTTTCAATGTCAGAGTGTTTGCAGTTAGCAATGCA